CATTGAATGCCAAACTAGGAATTAAAAATTTCCGTATTGAATTCCATTGAATTCCGTCTATTCTGACAATAAAATGAATACCATTGAATGCCAGGATAGGGATTGAAAAGTGTCCGTGTTGAACTCTGTGGCGGTACGCGCCAACAATAGTACACGCCCGCGCGGTATCTGCATTACCGGCAATTCGCGTCGACGCCGCTAGGCGTCGCATCGCCGGGGCATCTTCTCGAGTTCAAAGTTTCGTCTCGACCGCTATGTAAAGGGACCCCCTACGGTGCCTGACAGATCTTACAAATCTCATTTTCGGGCTAATTGCCCGTCGGCAGTAGTGCGTGTAATGCCTAGACATACACAAAAGCTCACCGACGAACAACGGCGCTTGGTCGCCCAACGGAGGCGCGAGACGTTTCCTAAACCATCTAATGCCATGCAATTCCATAACCTTTACGGATTGGATGGAATTTAAAATTTCTTTTTTGGATTCCATGGGATTGAACCATCTCATTTAGAATCCCATCTAATTTCATCTAATTCCGCCAAAAAAGGGATTCAAAGGTATTAAAAAATTTTAATATCTTTTAATCCTTTTGCGTTTGCTGGGATTGCATCGAAGATCCTTTTCCTTAATGTCGCAGGGACGTAGATCCTGATTTGCCTGGAGACATCGCAGTAACTTTCTCGCTGTTGTCCAATCGTAATTCCTTTAGTTTCGATGCTGCTGGCGATTGCAATAGAGTCCGCAATTCTTCATCCTCTTGTTGCTCGGCATCCAGTTCCTTTGTACTGACAATTACGGGCATGTCGATGGCGCTAATTTTGGATAGCGCATCCGCGACTTCGTTCTCTTTGCTTGCAATGTGTTCTATCTTGTGAACTGCGCTATATAATCTAGCTGTCGTAGCTGTCTTAGTGACGTCTTAGTTAGTCGGATTCTGCAAAAAAGCATAGGTAAGCTTTTGATCTGTACGAATTGTCAATTGTTGTCGTCCTTCAACTAAATATCTAAAAAAATTTTATTCTTTTGTATACCACTAATAGTTCTCTGTCATATGCACTACATTTACGCTGTGTTTCGGTCAATTTGGAAAAGAATCCCAGTGGCTGTCGAGTTCCTTCGTATTCCTGCTCCAAGACCGCTCCGCAATTGCTACCTCTGAGGCGTCTGTGCTCAATACTATTGGTGCTTCCGCGATTGGGTGTGTTAATAAGGCTGCTTGAGCTAACTGCTCTTTGCATTTATAAAGTGCTTGTTCGATTGGTTGGTCCCATTGAATTCGGCCTCTATCCTTCTTCTTTGAACCAGCTATAAGTGCATGAAACGAAGCCTGTATGTCTGCCGCCTTAGGAATAAAACGTCTATAAAAGTTGAGCATTCCCAAGAATCTGCAAAGTTCTTCCATCGTTTCCGGCTTTTTATAGTTAAATATGGCCTCGACTTTGCTTTTTAAGGGTTTTGTTTCCTCCTCCGATACCGAATACCCCAGATATTGGACTTCAGATTCTCCAAATCTGCATTTGTCGATGTCAATCGTAAGGCCGTATTTTCTGAACCTAGAAAATATCTCTCGGAGATGCTCCACATGGTCCTCTTCTGTTTCCGATGCGACTATTACATCATCTAGATAACAGAAACAAAATTTTAGCTCTTTAAAAGTACTGAAACGCTGGAAGATTTGGACCGCGTTTCGCAATCCAAATTGCATGACTTCAGCCTGGAACAATCCGAAGAGTGTTATTATGGCCGTCTTCTCCTTATCCTGTTCTGCTATTGGTATCTGATAATTACGCTCTATTTAAATCGATTGTACTAAATACCTTGTGTGCGAGAGTGCACGTATACGCGAGCGAAAGCGCGCGTAGGACGAGGAAACAGTTTAAAAAGTCATTAAGTACACTAAAATCCATATATTACAAATAAAGTTAATACAAACAATATGTACAAGTTCGTTTCTTTTCAGCAAATAACCCGTGACAAAAGCGCGCACAAAATTGAGGCGTGCAAATACGGCGTGCAAAAAGCAGCAAAGCGTGTTCGCGAAGCGAGATAGCGAAGATTTGTATTCGAGCGAAAGCGAATTCTAGGCAGTGTAACATCCAATAACCAACCGCAATCTTCAGCACGTAATTTAATACAACACGGATCTGTAGCATTTTGCCACATCGAATTTACAAAAATTATTCGCAACATTTTCTGCTTCAACGAGTTCCAGCACGGTGGGATCTGGCTCGAGTCGAAGCCTTTCACTTTTTTCAAAAATTGTTCGTTGTCTTTCGTCGTCGCATACATTTTTTCGAATATTTCATATCTGGCGCCATTTACGTTTTTACAATTTCTGACACCATACATAAGAGCGGTAAACTTTTGGACAGCATCAATTTTTATTTCATCAAAAACGTCTGTCACGTCGGGTAATGACGCGAAAACCTTCTGAAAGGTCAGGTTCTTCGAAAAGATTTTAAAGGGTCTGACTTTTCCTTTGTTGTAAAACGCGGCTGTATAATCACAACCCGTGAACGCGTGAAATGCCAGCAGAGCGAGGCATAAAGTGGGGATTCGCGCGCTGGCCGTGATCGTGTTCGGACGTGTCGCGTGCATCTTGGCAAACGAAGTGCTTTTTTTTTCTACTGGTTTTTCGCGGCGTGTGTGTCTCTTGCGAGTGACGGACGATTATCGCCGTCCTCTAACGTGCGTTG